ATTTCTCAAGCATATAGCTATGCATTTCACCAAATGCTTGATTTATTTGTATTGATGTATTTATTAAAAGTATGCATTCATCTAATCGTTTTGCACCATCAATCACTCCAAATTTATTTTGAGTATATTCAAGTAACATTTTAGTGTATCGAAAATATTCTTCATACAACAAATCTTTTCCTTGGTAGGATAGACCTTTTACAACTTTATAAATAAAAATATTTTATTTTAAATTTATTTGCTTTATACTTGGGTTTGAAAATAAAATAGCCATTAATAGTGCATATTCTTCCTTAGATAATGCAGCTTTTTTAAAAGGAGCAACAGATTTAGTAAATACTCGATCAACCAAGATAAACAATCTTTTTAAAATATAAATTTAAATCGAATTTGATAAAATAAAATATTAAAATACAGACGGACCTCACTAGAAGTAGATTTGTTCAGACACTGAGGAATGCGAGCGTTCAGGCTAGTGTTCGTCAAATGTTTTTTTCGGTATTGGTACCTTTAGTACCAAAAAGTTCCGGTACCACCCGTGTATCGAAAATTATAAAATCTTACTAATACGGTTTCGGATCCGTGAGTAGCGAAAAACCCTGTACCGACGAGTACCGAAAAAAAATCTTTTTATTCCTCCCTCCTTAATCCCCCTATATACATCGGGATCCTGACAAATTTACGATATACAGAAAATCCTACAAACTTCGATATATCTCTTTATCACTCGTAAAATTATATCTCTTAAGCCTCGCAAATCTGTATATATCCCTCTTAATACGTTTGAACAAATGATCCGACTTCCGAAAATAAATATCAAGTCTCCGAAGATAAGTATCGTGTCTCGTATCCGGGGTATTTTCGTTAGTACGAAAATCGTTAGTCGAAAGCACCTTCACTGCATCGAATTTCAGTTGTGGGATATGGTTAGGGTGTTGCAGAGGAATTAATAGAATAAACAAACAACATGAAATTATGGTCGGGATGAAGGGATAAGTATCTAGTTTCATGTCAGGATAACAATAATGTATATTTTTCATTAGGTCCAACAGTGTAGTAATAAGGAAAAAGCTTACTTTTTATCCCGAATAAAATATTCATTTTTAATAACACCAAGAGCAGGCATAACACAATCCTTACGTGCCCAGGTATCTACGCCAAGCTCACATGATATAAATGAACTTGAGAAGCTTTGAAATATATGTGATACGTGCCGGCAAAATGCGACCTGCAAAAAAATCATTAAAATTACTCCGTCTTAACCAAAAGACTTTGTCAGTTATAGATAATTTTTCGAATACAGGCATTGATTTTGCAATAGCAATACTTATCAGTTGATCAACGAGAATACATTTATAAGTCCTTTTATTATAAAATCCTTCCCTTTCATTGTCCATTTCCCAGCTACGCATTTCTTCTCGAGAAATAGGGTAAGGATTTTGCTTGAAGATTGAGGGAATGTTTTGTGTAAATTTTGATAAAAATTTACCGAAAACATCTCAATATGATCAAAAATATTAAAGCCTGAAAGTATAATATCCTCGCAATAAATTGAACCATTGAGTAAATTATCGTTGAAATCATTAAAAGCATGCATAATTCTTTTCTGATCCTCAGCTATTTTTAATAGTAAATTAATCTCTTTACATTCTTTAGCAGGTTTATCAACAATCACAACAATTTTCTACAAAATTACAATTAGTAGTAGAAACAAGTGATTTGTGCCTTTATTCTGATCCCGTCTTACTCATTTCAATTAAAACTAGTGCAATCTTTTATTAGAGATTTTAATTAAAAAGGATTTAAATATTCCCTAATCCTTTGTGCCACATTTTAGCTAATTTTTCCCTATTTTTGCCACATTTTTGAGTGTTACAAAAAAAGATCAAATGTTGTAACCTTTTGTTCTTCGCAACTTTTATTTATTTTTTGTTGTCTAGTTGGATATTTTTTAGGGCAACCTGGTTCTTTCATTCCCACAGAAAGGCATTTATTAAGATAACATCGCTCACAGTCTATCAACCTTAGTTTTATTTTCCCAAAAGTTGTTAAACATTTACATTCAAATTTTTGTTTTTTATTTTTTAAATATATCCTTTTTTAAAATTTAAATGTTTTTTTAAATTTAAAAATAAATTTATAAAACTTGAAAAATGCAGCACAAACACTACAACAATTAACATTATATTGATGTGAAACTTTCAAAGAAGAATCGCAAACTTGACATTTATTAACCAATTTTCTCTCCATTTTACTGAAATAATTATTAATAAAGCTAAAGCTTTATCAAAAATTAATTAATAATTTAATAAGTAATTTAGTAGGTATTTGTTAATTTTATATTATTATGAGTTAGTAACCATGGGAATATATTTTTAATTAATTAGCAGAAAAAGAATAACTTTAAAACTGAAATGGAGGGGTAATTTAGTTATTCAGTCATGAGATAAAATCTAAGTTTCTAAACTAGAATTTAGAAATAAATTGCTAAAAAGTTAGAAAGATTGAATGAAAAATCCACGTATGTTTGTACAGCTTTGTATATTAAAAGATAAACTAAAATTTATGTAAACTAAAATTTATGAAAAAAAACCTTATCTTTTCTTTTCTCCTAAAATATACAGATGGGACAAAGTGAATGTAGTGCTTCCGGTAAAACTTTATTATACAACCTTTCATTACAACCCTTCAACTATTCCATTTTGTGTGGTTAAATTATGAAAAGAAAGGCATTTATTGAATATATTACACTGTGGTACAATTCTCGACTGGATTTGTTTTTAAATTAACGCGATTATTACAACATCAACAAGCTAAAATCCTTTTACCGTATTTGCTCTATTAATCCCCCAGTCTTTATTAATCCCCCAGGCTCTATTAATCCCCCACCCTGGAGATGGGTTGAAACAATAATCCCCCTCTTTCTACCCCACTCTAATAATCCCCCAGGCTCTTCCCCCTGGGGGATTACTAGAGCAAATACGGTATATGTATTAGCGGATCAGGCGAATATTTTTGGATCTTTGATTTAAAGCGAGGCAATATTAATCGGCACAAGCCTTGTCGAGCTGTAATTTTTTGACAAACGAGTCACGGGTTATGTTCTACATAGCTCGATCTTTCGAGGAAGTAAAATTAATATATTAATTAAAGACGATATTAATATTATATATAGTACATAAAATTAAGGAAAGATTTTATTCATTTTCACTTAAATTTTAATTTTTAAATTACTTTAAATAAAATGCTAAAATCTACATATATGTAAATGGTGAATGAAAAACCCCTCGACTATTTGTTTAGCTTTAAATATTGAGAGATAATAGAATTTATTTAAACACTAATTTTGCGTTGAGGCTGTCATAGCTACTTTGCGTGTCACACTAATTAGCTTTTTAAATTTAAAATTAAATTTTTAGAAAAACTAAAGAGTATTAATAAATTTAAAAAATTAATTTTGGTAAAATAAGGTTTGTGATTATAGAAAGAATAAGGTTGAATATTCCCCGACATGGAATATTCAGAATAACAATAAAGTATGAATTAAATTGAGGTTGTCATAAGTGGCGGAAATTTACTTAAGACCGATTCAATTTTAGGCTTTAATTGAGTAAATTTTTGCATAGCTACATATTAGGTATGCTTAAAATATTTTATTATTATAGATGGGTAAAAAATACTACTTTGCGTAATGTATGATATGGGAAATAGGCTCTACTCTAGCTTAGTAGTCCAATGAAAGTTTACTAGTCCAGGGAAAGTCGGCTGTTACTCAGTTTGCGGTCGTCTAAAGGAAAAGTACATACAATTTTATCCACAAGAAAAGTAAAAAATTAATTTAAATTAAAATAAAATGTAAAAAAAAATTAAAGTTTTTCTTTTAAATTTGAAGAAGAAGAAAAAATAATATTTTTTAATTTTTCATTTTTTTCCATCATTTCTGCTTTTGAGATCATTCTTTTATAAAATACTAACCAACAAAAAAGACAAAGAACTAATTGGGAACCAATAAATTCCCAAATATGTCTAGGTCCATAATTTTCAAAAACCCAACTAAAATATAAATTAATTATTTAAATTAATGTTATTTTAGTTAAATTTTGAATTAAAAAAAAAGAATTTTTGTAAATTTTTATAAATAATTTTTTATTAAAACTAGGGTTGGTCACGGTCGGTTAACCGAACCGAAACCGAAAACCGGGGGTCAAAAACCGGCGAAAACCGAAAACCGGTGGCCTAAACCGACCGGTTTTTCGGTTTATAAAATACACCCCTAAGGATGGAATTTTTTTGGAAATTTTTCGTTCATTTGAGTTCACAAAACACATCTTGCCAAAATATTTTTCTCAAATTGTTTTCGATAAATATAATTTCTTTAATTCACCTATATCAGGAGGTGTAAATATGTATGTTTGATTGGCTCCCTTGATTTGCTTTTGACTTAGTGTTTGGTTCGAATCCAAGGACGAGTAGTACAAGGGATATTATTTTTTTCAAAAAATAAATACTGTTTAAGTTTTTGACTTTTAATTTAAACTTTTTCAAAAGTTATGTCAGCGCTGCTAAAAAGGAATAAATCTGTTTATTGGCCTTTATACTTCGGTGCCAAAAATACTTCGATGCCTTCCAAAATTCTCAAAATTTTCGCCTGCGGCGCCAAAAAAGATAAAACATGGCTCGTGGCTGGGTATGGTACCTTTTGACTAGCCAAAGGAGAGAAATAGCTATAGCCCAGCTGATTTACTACATTTTTATTGATTAAAATAAGAACTGGATATTCTGGATGAAAAATACAGGCATAAACCGGTTTCGGTTAACCGAAAACCGGGGGTCAGTCAAAAACCGAAACCGAAAACCGGGGGTCGAAAACCGGTCAAAACCGAAAACCGGGGGTACCGGTTAATAACCGGTAGTGTCCAACCCTAATTAAAACTTTAAACATTTTTTTGATAAGTAACCATTCTTACACATTTTAAATTATTTTTAAATATTTTTTTAATTTACCTAACAGCTATAGGTCCACCCAAAAGTTCCAAAACTGTTTGGCAAACAAAAAATATTCCTTGCATTACACCCTAATATTTTTTAAATTTATTTTTAATTAATTAAAATTTACCTGTTTAATATTTCCAAGTATTTTTGAATATAAAATATCTAAATTCATTCTAACTACTGGCATAGCCATTCCTGTACTTAATATTAGAGATGCCATATAGAGAGGCATATTTGGTCTTAAAAATATTTTTTAAAAATAAACTTTAAAAGAATTTATTGCAGATAACATTTGTATGAGTAGTTAAATATAGGTTTTGAATTGAGGATTAATTAACTCTATTGTGGTTACAGCCCTAGAGCAAATCCTATAGCAACACACAGACTGTAAAACTAAACCCAGAAAGAATATTTATTTAAAGATATACAAGTCCATATAGTCTTTCCCCATATTTGACAGTAAATAGAATCCTCAAAACTCATAAATTTACAAATAATTTTTCAAAAAAAAATATATTTTTTTACTTTGTAGTAGTTCCACACCATTCATAATGTGAAGGACAACCGGGATGACTTTCAGATCCACAATTAGATATATTCTCTATTATTTCTGTTTTATTATTTAAAAAAGCGGAGAGTAGTGAAGGTGAAGAATTTACAGCATATGGAAATGTTTCTGACAAAAATGGCCAAGAATATGTAAATAAATAACCTCCCATAAGTACTAATAACCCTAACATAACTGATTGACGTTCTGATATTCTTTAAAAATTAAAGATTTATTTTTTTTATTTTAATTTCAAAAAACATTTTATTTAATCCAAACATCATATAAGCAGCTGGCCAAAGAATTAGTTGAATTGCTACTGCGACTCCACATAATCCCCCATAGAATTGAAGTTGGGAAGCATCCCATTGAAAAGCTAATTGTTGATATGGTGAACTGATACTTTAATTGAAAAAAGATAATTTTTTAAATTTATTTTTGTAATAAATAATTTTAGTGAGGAGTTATTTAGTCTTCAATTATTAAATACTTTAAATTATTTTATCTAGCTTTCTTCAAAGTAAGGGTCCGATACTTTCAGCAGTACCCTGGTACAACTAAACTGTTCTCAACATTAATTTTAATTTGTTTGCCATTGAGCCTAGATAAATTTATTTTATTAAACCGACGTCATTAAATTAAGCATAGCCATACTAATAACTAATTGAGTATAACAACAAATTAAAACGGCAACCCAATCAAAAGAATAACTACTTTCTGCGTGTATATCTTTTAAATTTTTTAATAAATAAATTTCCAAAAAATATATTTTTTAAATACCTTTTTTATTTTCTTTTAATTTTTCCAAATTATTTGGAATCCAACATTGAATATTTTTATTTTCATTTTTAATCATTTCTAAATTATTTTTACTATTTATTTTTTGCATTTTTTCATAAATATGCCATTTTCCATCAAAATGATAAATTAACAAATAAAGGGCCAATAAAAATATAAACATCGAAAATATCATTGGGGCAGTAAATAAATTTAAATGAATTTTAATTAAAGGTATTTCAATTCCTGGGTATTTCATATAACTTGTTCCAGCATTTATTGCTACAAAAAAAGGGGAAATTTTAATTTCCAAAAGAAGTTTTCTTTACCAAATCCGACAAGTAACCCAACGGCTGGTAAAAGTGCCGTTAAAGCAATAGCTTTATTTCTATCTTTTTCTGTGCTAGCCATAGCTACATGAGTTCTTGACATACTTCCCCCACCTTTAAGATAAAGTTTAATATTTATTTAAAATTATTTTCACTCAACCACTAGCAATTCCCATCAAAATTTTGTAGCAAAGAAAGAAAGCATAAAATGCAAATCCTTTAACTAATTCAGCTCCCAGAAAGAATAGTGTAGAAATTAATATCAACAATTTGGATATTATAAGTATTTGTCTAGAATTAAATTAATTATATTTCTAAATAAATATTATTTAAAATTCAACTATATAATATTTTGAAAAATTAAAAAAAAATAAAAATTGTAAAAAAATTAAATTTCTTTTTATTTTGAGAAATTGGAAACCCGATGATCCTTGGCACTGGGCTTGGAATTGTAAAAAAATTTTCGATTATTTTTTTTGAGAAATTTGGAAACCCGATGATCTTAAAAACACTAGACTTGGAATAAGTTCGGGGAAATTTTTCGCAGTATATACCAGGGAACGAGCCGACATAAAAAAATTTCCCAAAGAAATTTAAATTCCCGATTTCGGGAATTCTCGACTCAAAAAAACGTCGAGAATTCCCGATTTTCGGGAATCGGGTCGGCTCGTTCCCTGGTTTAACCAGAGATGGGCCATGCCACATTTCATAAAACCGTAAGAAGAGATCCTATCCCTAATATATGAATGGGACTTTAATAAAGTTTGGGAATCACGTCACCCAAAAGAAAAAATGTTCTTTACAATAATATTTTAGTCTTTCTATTCAATATTTACGAGATTTTATATAAAATAAAGCATTAATATAAAATATTTTTAAATAAATTTAAGCACCTCGTGTCTTTCAATCGATTACATAACCAACCAGCCAATATCGTCGAAATCCCCCCACTCAGCCCCCCAACTGTACGTAAAATACCATAAAATGTAATTGTAGCAGAAGGGTCCAACTAAATTTTTATCAAAAATAATTTTTAAAAAAAATTTAAAAATACTTGACAAAAATAATTCCAATCATTACTCGCTGCAAATTCTAATGCAGCAATAAATGCAACAATGGCAACAATATAAATAGATTTCCAGTTAGTTTTTAATATTGGGGGATTAATTGAAGGGATAATTGTGTGGCTTTCCATCTTTAAAAAAGAAAAAAGTTTTATTTTATTTAACAAAATCTATATTTTTCAAAAATGTTAAAAATTTACTAATATTTTTATTATACTTCAAACTTTATATAAAATAAAAGTAATAAAAATGTGTAAATACAAACTATATATACCGTATTTCTTCTAATAGTGCGACCGGTCGGTCTATTTTTCAACCCCCCTCTAGAGGGTCGGTTTATTAGAAGGGGTCGGTCTAATAGAGGGAGTCGGTTTATTTTTCAATACTGGAAATTAGATATCGAACAAACGGCTAGATCAAATATTTAATCAAATAATTTGAAAATTATCGATATTTGAAAAAATCTACTTTTACCGAAAGTCATCAAACAAATTTTTGATCAAATTATTTGATACTATTTGAAAAAATTTGATCAAAAAGTCAAATATTTGATTGAATAAAAAAATTTTGATTGAAAAAAAAATTTTGATCAAATATTTGATTGAAAAGTCAAATATTTGATTGATAATGGGGGTCGGTCTAATAGAAGGGGTCGGTCTAATAGAGGGAGTCGGTTTATTTTTCAACCTTCCTCTAGGGGGTCGGTTTATTAGAAGGGGTCGGTCTAATAGAAGGAGTCGCACTATTAGAAGAAATACGGTATATAAAAAAATAAAATATTTATTATAAAAATTTTTATTTTGAAAAATATTTATTTTTATATTTTATTTAAAATAATTTTTAAAAAAATTTAAAAATTAATTTCCCAATATTTATTCAAAAATTCAAACTTTTCATTGAATTAGTATTTTAAAATTTGTATTTAATTTTTTAAAAAGGAAAAAAAGAGAAAATGATTTTTTTTTCTAGCAGGTGTTTAATTCTAATTATTTAAATAAATATATATAATTATTTAATATTAAATTTAAATAAATTTTTTTCTTTTAAATAATTGATGAAATACAAATTAAATAATTAGAAATTAAATTCAAATAATTTTATATTTTATTTAATTTTAAAAATTTAATTAATATTTAATTTTGTGTTAAAGAATAATTTTCAAAGAAATAAAATATTAAATTAAAATAAAAATGTTTTAAAATTGTATTAAAATGCATGATATTTATTAAGTTAATAATGAAAAAAATATTTTAAAAAATAAATTATAGACAAAAAAATTTGAAAAAAATTTTTTTGTTTATATTTGTTAAAAAAATTTAAAGAATTTTGGTTATTTTTTACTTAAATCTGAATCTGTTCTGAATTTGTGACCACCTTAATTAAAATGATGTTTTTTATACTAAAAGATAAGCTTAAAAATTAATTTTAGACAAAAAACTGATAAAAAATTTAATTTAATTTGAGAATTTATAGTTTGTTATTTTAAATTATTTTTTTCGAATATTTAAAATAAAATTTAACTAAAAAATTCCAAACTATAATAAATAAAAATAAATAAAGAGAAAAATAAAAAAGATAAAATTTTAATCCAAAATTCAAAAAAATGAACAAGAATTAAACATTTATTTATTGATTATTGACAAAAATATAGAAAAATAATTTTAAAAAATAAAAATGTACTATTTTAATAAGGCTTAAAATATATTTTAATGGTTTTTTAATTGTGTATTTATGTATTTTATATTTTAATGAATATACGGTCATCGACATAAAGATAGGGGCAAGAGTAGCTGAAATGAAAATTAACATTTTCTCAGTTAAAAATTCATTTTAGGAAAAATTTTTATTTTATTAGATACTCCAATTAATTCTCTATTTAATGAGTATATAAAAATTATTATTTTAAATATTTTTTAAAAATATTTTTAATTAAATTTTGAGGTGTTGAATAAATGTTTGTTTTTATTTAATTAAAGTTCTAAGAAGAAAATCAAACAAAAAATGCTGCTATGATTTATAAGTACATACTTTCTCTTTTACTAAATTCTCTCAAGCCATTCAAATCCCTCATATTACTAATTTTTTGATCAAAAAAATTCTTCTTATTTAATCCATTTTAGGTATTCAATTGTATACGTATACCTAACTAAAAACAAATATTAATCTTTTATTTTATTAATCTTCCCATTTAAAATTAAATATCCAATTTTAAATAATTGGAATAATAAAATATTAAAAATATTATTTTTAAAATTGGGGAAGTGTAAAATAAATTTATTATCACTTTTTCTACTTTTTCGTATTTCCATATTTTTGAAGCATTTCTTTTTCTCTTTATACTTTGACACGTGATCGACGGGCAAAGACACTTGTGCGTGGTGGACAAGGACAATATGCTCCTGTTTGATAAAAATATTAATTAATGATTATTCAAAATTAATTTACCATCGTGTCCTGGTACTCCAGCTGGTCCTGCTTGTCCAGGTCCTCCAGGCTGGCCAGGGGTTCCATTTCCTCCAGGGGGACCAGGAGGTCCGGGTGGACCTTGTCCTCCAGGCTGGCCAGGTCCTCCAGGTGCTCCAGGCGTGCCAGGGCCTCCAGGATTGCCAGGAGGTCCTTTTGGTCCAGGAACAGAAGTGCTGAAAAATTATTTTAGTTAAAACATTCAAAATAAGTTTACCTTTTGACTCCAGGATTTCCAGCTGGTCCGGGTTGTCCAGGTCCTCCAGGCTGGCCAGGTCCTCCAGGTGGACCGGGTGGACCAGGCGGGCCGGGTGGTCCTGAGCCACCTCCTCCACCAGGTGGACCAGGAGGTCCGTTTCCTCCAGGCGGTCCAGGTGGGCCTTGGCCTCCAGGATTGCCAGGTGGTCCAGCAGGACACTTTTGGCAAGTGGTTGATGGTGGAGGGCAGGCTGTAAAAGTATTTTTTAAAGATTACTTTATCATTAAGGAATTTATTTATTAGTTAAATTTTAATCGGATTCATACCTAAATTTATTAAATCTAATAAATATTTTATGTTTAGATTTAATAAAAAGTCATTAGATATTTTATTTTAGATATTTTTAGTAATAAAATTAAAAAATTACGTGGTCCTTGCGTTCCAGGTTGTCCAGGGCCTCCAGGTTGGCCAGGGCCTCCTGGATTTCCAGCAGGTCCAGGAGGACCTAAAATTAAGAGAAATTAAAGAGGAACGGAATTATTTTCTGACCAGGTGGTCCTGGTGTACCAGGTGGGCATTGGGGTTGGATTGGTGGACCACAGTTGCAATGTCCAGGAAGGCCACGCTTTTGACGTAAGAAGATTGAATTGAATGGATTTTCGCGTGGCTTGGATGGTGGAGTAACGCTGACTTGGACTTCCATTAAAGATGTCCATGCAGAGTCAGTATTAACTCTGAAAGCCTGAACACCATCGAATACTCGAGAATTCACATCGCTCATTTGGTTGTAAAGTTGGGGAACAACCACCAACACAGCCAAAATCGAAGCGATTGAACATGCGGAAGCAATCCCAATGACCAACTTTGCCTCGTTCATTATTTACTTTAAAATTAAAAAATTACCAAAAATATTTTTAAAAATATAAAATCAAATTATTATGGTAGAAGGAATAATTTTCATTTGGTAATACACAATTCTTTTATAGGCAAATCACAATCACATAAAGAACTTTCGCTGTGAAGAAAACAAACCAGCTTTTTCGGCCATCAATTCCTCCCAAAAAATTCTTCTTTTTTTACTTCCATTTACATTCGGTAATTTTCCTTCTCATGAACATTTTTTAAACAAAGGCAAGCATCCTTGCATTTTTGCGCGACCGCTGTTTTACTCAAACAAAACATCTCCAAAATATTTACGCATTTTTCTTACAAAAAGATGCTTTGCTTCTCCTCCGCCTGAGGGCACTGCGCAGTAAAGCAAATTACAATTTATTCAAGGACAGGTTGAGTAAGAGAACATTTTTAGTTTATTTTTTTATTATTCCCACAATCAACTGTAAATATAAATTGCACGATAAAAATAAAAAAAATATTTAAAGGGTGAGCAGTAAAGCAATAAAACCTTTTTTAAAATTAAATTATTCCTTTTTTTAGTTTCACAGTTATTTTTAAATTATTTTACTTGGAACCTTTTTTATATATTATTAATTTATAACCTAAACAAAATATATACCTATAATTAACAAAAAAAAACTTTTAGGTGGAACCTCGTGGAAGTTAAAGTAAAACAGAAAAAATATATTGTCTAATTATTAATTAATCGAATTTTAAGAATTTTTTACAAACTTTAGGGTTTAAAATTTTAATATTTTATTATATAGACTTTTACATAAAAGAAAGAATTTTTTAAAGAGTTTTTTTTTAATTAAAAAAATTTTTTTAATTAAAACAGCTATAATTACACAAGTAATTACTAAAGAATCCTTATTTTTTTATTAAATAGTATTAAATCTTTAAATAAAATTCTGATGCTTAAATAAATTTTATTTAAAAAAATCATTAAATTAAACAATATTAAAAAATTCTTTTCTAATTTCTCTTATAACTAAACGGAAAATCAACAATCGGCATTGGTGGCAACTTCTCACTATCATCATATTCTCTAAGTATTTGTGCAATTGTTTTTCGAATCCACGGCACAGCATTAATTTTAATAAGATATTGGGCATTAAATATTCCATTTTCTGTTTTCTTTTTTTGAACTAATTTTACGCAAAGTTGGTATTTTTGATCACGAATTAAATAAAGAGAGATATCATAAAAGTCAGAAATAATCTCTCCAAAAGCTAATTCTTCATTCGGATCTAATTTAAAAAATTTGTATAATATCCCCAATATCGAATAAAAATAAATTTTAATTTACCAGAAAAATGAATATTCTGTCCAAAAAAATTCTTAAATTTAAACTCACTTAAATGATCACTAAATTTTTTGCCATCACAAGCAACAATAATTTCATCAAGAATTCTAACAAATTTATAAGCCTCTTCTGGCACAGGTAATTTAGGTAAATTTATAAATTTCCACCTCCATTCAGTTTTTGCCGTTCTAAATATTTTTGTTATTTTAATTGTTCTTCTGCCAGAAATTCCTTGCTGTAAGCTAATATTCATAGTAAAATTCGCTCCAAACTGTAATTTTTCTAGAACAAAATTAGCTTTAATTGCTTCTAGAAAAATTTAAATTTTTATTTTAAACAATTTTTAAAAAATACCTGTTTGGGTACCAGAATTTGTTTCATTCATCATAGACATACTCGAACTATATTTCTATAATTGAAAAATATATTTTAAAAAATAATTGTATTTTTATTAGGGTTGCCAGCTCGCTCGACCCGAAAGATCGAGCGAGCCGAGGCTTTTCAGCTCGAAAACGAAACGAATCGAAAAAAAACAAGCTTGAAAAAAGCACCGAACGTCGGCTCGAGCCGAAAACGGCAACCCTAATTTTTATAAAAATTATGCTCAAACAACCAACAATCTCCTTCCTTTCAATAACGGATCCGTTAATTCTGTATTTCAAGAATTCCTCTCACAACTTATACCTCTTAAATAGTAAACTAACCACATATTTAGATGAACTGAAATTTTCATTGTAACGACATAATTTAACCAAAGAAGTAGTAACACCCCTCGATTGTTGACCAAAATATTTAAATAAATTAGCAGATCTAACAAATTTTAACATTTTAGAATCTACAAAATATTAGAAGGACAATAAAAATTATTTAAAAACAAAGTAGTTAAACTAAACTTTTCGAATTAAACATTCCAATGCTTGAAGAAAATTTTATTTTTCAAAAAAAAACCATTAAATTAAACAATAAATTTTTTTATCAAAATTTATTCTTCTTTTTAATTTCTCTTATAACTAAACGGAAAATCAACAATCGGCATTGGTGGCAACTTCTCACTATCATCATATTCTCTAAGTATTTGTGCAACTGTTTTACGAATCCACGGCAAAGCATCAATTTTGATATAAAATTGTCGATACATTCCGCCTTTTTCCATTTTTTGAATAACTTCCAAAAAAATTCGTCCTTCTTGATCTCGCATTAAATTGAGAAAAATATCATAGAATTTTGTGAAAAGTTTTAGAGAAGTTAATTCTTCATTTGGATCTAAAAATTTTTAAAATTGTTTAGAATATTAAAAGAGAATTTTGGATAATTTAATATAGAAATATGGATTAAAATATTTTGAGAAAAGTTAAAGAAAATGTAGGGAAAATGAGAAAATATGGAAGAAATGTGCATAAAAACCTTCAAAAAAACTAACATAGGTAAGCCTTATGAATTTCACAATTTAAAAAATTTTAAACGACTAAAAATTTACTTTAATGCATAGAATTTGAACTAATATACTATGTTTTTGTTTAATTATTAATTTATGTTATCAATAAAAGAAAAAATTTCTAAAAACTAACTTAAATACTCGCAGAACTTTTTGCCATCACAAGCAATAATAATTTCATCAAGAGCTCTAACAAAATTATAAGCCTCTTCTGGCACATCCAAAGTAGGTAAATCCATATATTTCCAACCAGTATTTTGTCCTCTAAATGATTTAGTCACTTCAATCAATTTTTTCCCAGTAATTCCTTGTTTTAATTTAATAATCACACTATCATTAGCTCCAAGGTGTAAGTTTTGACGTACGAGATTGTCTTTAATCGACTCTAAAAAAATTTAATTTTTAAAAATAATTTTAATATTATTTTTATTTATTTAAAATTAACAAGGGAGGGGAATTATATATTTAATTATGTCGACAATTTTCTTCATATATTTAGTCATAACATAGATAACAGACTACATATTTTTGTTAATACTTAGGTTGTAACATAAGTTTTGATACCCGAGCATGTTTTTTCGATGAATACTTTATGGATATGGATGTTCTATATACCATTCGAAAGCTTAATTCGTATCTCGTTTGACATGTTTCAGCGTTTATTAAAAAAATTTAAAACTTCCTAGATATACACTGATAAATGGGATATAGTCGGATATGCCAAATCCGGATCTGGCTATATAAATTTTTTACAAAAGATCTAACATAAAATGATTATTCATAATAATTTTAGAAGCCAGAATCAAAAAAAATCAGGGACAAATCTTTTTCCTAGCCCAAGATATGAATTTTTAAAAAACGGGAATTTTTCACTTTTTTGTAAAATTATTTGGTCGCTAAGAGAAATTTTTCTCATTTTGTCACACTTTTGTCAAAAATGTTAAAAAATATGTGATTTTCAAAAAATCATATCTCTGCTCAGACACAAAATTTTTAAATTTTGTTTTTTTATCCTAACTCAGAAAAATCCACGGAATAGTAATAAATTAATTCATCTTTTGTAAAAAATTTATATAGCCAGATCCGGATTTGGCATATCCGACTATATCCCATTTATCAGTGTATATCTAGGAAGTTTTAAATTTTTTTAATAAACGCTGAAACATGTCAAACGAGATACGAATTAAGCTTTCGAATGGTATATAGAACATCCATATCCATAAAGTATTCATCGAAAAAACATGCTCGGGTATCAAAACTTATGTTACAACCTAAGTAAAAAAATATTTAAATACTTGTTACAGTTGGAAATTTTGTTTCATTCGTAAACATATTCGAGCTAAATCTCTATAAAAATAAAAATAAGTAATTTATTTTAATTATTTTCCTCGTCCAATAATAGACCCGGAAAGTTTCAAGTACTTTTTAAAGTTTTTTAAATTAAATCTTCATAAATAATGACATTTAAAAACCCTACCGCTTAAAAATAACCCCACAAATAATCATAATTTCATTAAAAACAATATTTAAATAATTCCTTTATGGGAAAGCTTAAGCCCACAAAATTTATTTTATGTAAAAAAATATTTATAATTTTTAAATATCAAACTAACCTCATATCTAGATGAACTAAAACTTTCATTGTAACTACATAATTTAACTAACGAAGTAGTAAAACCTCGCGATTGTTGACCAAAATATTTAAATAAATTAGCTGATCCAATAAATTTTAACATTTTTAAATCTAAATAAAAATAAAACTAAAAAATATAAAATAATAAGCCAGCAAAATCGCATTCCCGTAATTCCGTAACGAGATTGCTCCCTCTTATCGCTTAAAACCCCGGAATTTCAGGACTCGATCCGTAAAATCCCATAATGAATCCCTTCCATGCCGATCTTCAATTAAAATCAAAATTTTTTAGAAAATTTTTAATCTGTTGACATTTTTAGTTGACATTTCGAAATTACTTCAGCAAAAAAATTTCAAAATATCAAAATTACAAAATGGCAAATTTTAATTCATCGTTAAACTTTTTAATTATTTCTAATTTTGCTATGCTTTTAAATAAAAATAAATTAATATTTTTCTTTTTATTTTTAATTAAAATAATTTTTCTATTTTCCATTGAATGTTCCTCAATAAATAATTTTTTTGCAAAATCAACACACACAAATAATTGGTTTTATTTTAAATATTTTTAATAAAAATTAATTTTTAAATTAGGGCTGTATTAGTTTGTTCTTCTCGTTTTTGGTTTAATTATCGTCATGTGTCAAATGTTCTTTCTTTATATAAATCCTTAAAAAGATTGGGAATGCCTGACAGGTTTGTAAAAATTTTTTTAAATTTAAAAAAAATATTTTTTAGTAATATTATTTTGATGTTGGCTGATAATATTCCCTGTAACGCCAGAAATCCATCTCCTGGTTTATTTAAAATTATCAGATTTATTTTTCAATATTTTTAGCTGCTATTTATAATAACGCCCATTCTCATCAAAATTTATTTTTGGAAGATACAGAAGTTGATTATCGTGGTTATGAAGTAACTGCCGAAAATTTAGTTAGATTACTTACAAGTAGACAAATTAATTCTACTCCAAGAAATAAGTAAATATTTAATTAATTTTTATTTTTTAAAATTATTTCAAAGGCGTTTACTGAGTAATTCACAAAGTAATGTTCTTATTTATTTGACGGGACATGGAGGGGAAGGTTTTCTTAAATTTCAAGATGCTGAAGAATTAACTAGTCAAGACTTGGCTGATGCGATTGAAACTATGTGGCAACAGAAAAAGTATACATATTAATAGATTTTAATATTCTAAATGTTCGGCACTTTAATTGGGTTCTTGGACATTTTTTAAGAAAATATTTACAAGGTTATATAAAAAAAGTAAGTCCCTCAAGTATTGACGGCAAGAGAGTATTACCCCCTCGCTATTTACTAGAATTTCATTAAAATTCAAATTAATGTATTATTTTTCAGATATAATGAACTTATGTTAATTGCCGACACTTGTCAAAGTGAATCAATGTATCAACTTATTTACTCCCCCAATGTATTAGCTACATCTTCTAGTTTGGTAAATTAAGAAAAAAATTCTTTGTAAAAAATATTTTTGAGGTTGGAGAAGATTCATTGTCACATCATAATGACCGTTCCATAGGTGTTTATATAATTGATAGGTAATATATTAAATATTTTCTTGAATTTTTATTTTAAATTTTAGATACGCTTATTATATGCAACAATTTTTGGATGAAAAAGTACTTGCTTTAGAATCAAATTCTTCTTTAGAAAATTTTGTTAAAGTATTTTTAAATTAATTTTTGATTTTAAAAATATATTCTTTATTTCAGTATTGTGATAAATCTAAATGTATTTCAACTGTTGGAGTAAGAAGGGATCTTTATGATAAATCTTTAAAAGAAGTTCGTGTAACAGACTTTTTTGGTGCTCGCCGTTATGCTCATCCTTTCAATTCTAATGATTTTAATTTTGATTGGTCAACGCTTTAATTAAAATTTCACGTAAATTATTATTATTTTTCAAAATTTTTAAAACAAATTTATCAAATTATAAAATTTTAAAACAATTTTTTGAAAAAAAATTTAAATATCAAACCTTTCTTTCAATTCCCTTGGTTCTAATTTTCTTTCCCATTTTACTCGCTTTTTCAAATAACGCATCCATATCAGCAGCAAAATTGAGTTTTTTCTCAAAACGCCTTCTTTTAACCGGTTTTCCATCGTTTGTTTCATCCCGATTTTTCCCATTTATGGCATTTATTGAAGCAATAACACTAAAAATAAAGTAATTTTAAATATATGTACTAGGAAAATTAAAGTTTTTTTTGGGAAAGGCAGGAATTTGAAATTTCTCGTTCTAGAAAGTTCAAAAGATAGAATTTTCTTTAAATTGGAACCTAAAACCATCAAAAAAATTTTGGAAAGCTTTTTGGAAAAAGCTTTGGAAAGCTTTTTGGAAAAAGCTTTGGAAAGCTTTGGAAAATTTTGGAAAGCTTTAAAATAGTAAAAACAAACTGTTGTCGCTTCTTTTTATGTCGGCGTTCCCTCTTTTTATCGGTTTCAGTCCGTTCTATTTTAGATTTTGGTATCGCTTTAGTCCTCCGAACAATTTCTTCTGGTGCCAATAAGTTAACATCCGGTTCTGTAGTTGCTGTTGGGCCAACCTCCTTAATTAAAAACATTTTAAAAGTCCATAATTTTAAGCCTAAAAACAAACTTCTACTCGAAGACTTGGCATATTATTAACAATTTTTGTCTCCTCATTTCGTAATATCTGTGGCCGAAATTGGAAATGACTCAAAGCATCCAAACTTAGAAAAAGTGAATTCATATCTTTTTGAATCTCAGCTGTTTGTG